TATATATATATATGGTTTAATGAAACAGGAATGATAGCCTTTAGTTGGCAAATAACTTGTAATAAGCTACAGTACAGATTTTCTACTCGAGTTTCTGTTAACGCCGTTTTACTTACTTACTTTTTGAGGATAATTTAGAGGATTTCTATAAAATAGTTTCCCACTGAACAGAAACGGAGGACAACGCGTCCACAACTCCGTGACTGACGACAAGTCTTATTGCATGTTTTAAAACCCAGTTTCTAAAATGGAAAATGGTTTGGATCTTTTTCTTTCGGCAGCTGCAGTCCTTTAGATCAACATGAAGGATAATAGAACAAAATAACTGCATGCCACGTGAATATAATATGAGGCCTTAAAGCATGTTTATATTTTTATGAATAGAAGTCCAACTTAGCACAAAAGCCTGCTTATGTGCGTCTTCCGGGTCTCCGATTGCACCATAATCAGGCTCATAAAAGTCATTAGATAGTTTCTCAAGTGTAGGCCTAATAAACAAACGTCGTGTTAGTCAAAAGATTGATGGCGCTCTCACAGAATGGACCAGGTCAGGAAGGAATAAAATTCAATCAGAGAGCTGGAATCGTTTTTCATGAGACGGAAAAGGCAGAGAGGGAGACGGGGGTCAATGAGGAGGATGTCGGTCGCCAGAGCACCATCAACAATATAACAGGACATAGCACATACAAAGAGAGCAAGAGAAAGAGGGAGAGGATGATGAGTTAGTTTGGTTTATCCCATATGATTTCGATTGCTTAAAACTGTAAACATGGTGAACAAAATGTTTTAGAAACGACTTTCAAATGTGCAGAATTTAGGCATGCCACAAAAAAAAAAGAAAAGAAAAAGATTATAGGTGGTACTAGAATGATACTGCAGGGGAATCAGCAGCATGCTGGAAGTTTCCTACGTGGGGCCCGGGGGCTTTCATCCATCCCGAGGGTTCCCACAGCAAAATAGGTACAAATTAAATTTCGCCTTCATTTCCTTTTTCGAAGGAAGGACTAGAATGAATTTTTTTCTTATTCATTTGCTTACAGCTATATTTCCACCTACAGTAAAGATGGCTGTGACCGTTATTTCTCACAGCAAAACACTCTAATCAGATGTTGCTCAGAGCTCATTGTCATTAAACATGGCACGTCTTTTTATGGCTCCCTAACAAGCAGACATTTGGAGACTACTGTCCGAGTCTGTGTAGAGGCTTTAGTCTGCTTCTCCCTGAAACGTTCCGCTACATTCCTGAAAATGCACAACATCCCTCACTGCTTTGGGTCATCTAGCAAAGATAAAAGAGTCAGTGCTGGTCCTGTCTTTAATATAACAATAAAGAATTTAAAAAAATAATTAAATATGTTACATCGTTGATTTGAAAGCAGATAAAAGTCGTGTTACACGAGCTTCCTCTTTTGAAATATATTATAGAGTATGATTTTTGTCAAATACAGCTTGGTCGTAATTTATGTTTCATAGGTTTGACTGACACACTACGGCGTCCATAAGCGGGAGGTTTTGTTTGTGGGTCAGGTCAAAGTTCAACAAATACACCTAAGAAGTAAACAACTGACATACGAGTAATATATATATATATATATATCTATATATATATATATGCAACAACATTACATAATATATTCTCCTCAATGTATAGATTACAGCTAACGAAAAACAGTGATGCGCATGCAGGTAGCAAGTCAGAGGCAAAGCTTCACTCCAGCTTTAGATTTGACTTGTCTCAGTCAATGTGATGGCAGAATGGCAGATTAGAGGTTTATATTTTATTTTATCATAACTTGTTATGGCTGTGGATAAAAGTTTGAAGTTTTCTTTGATATAAACACGGATATTTTACCAGGACAAAAGACAGTTCACTTTCCTTTCGCCATCTCTATAGTATTTTTAAGGTCGTAAAACAGTGGCCTTTATAAAATTTGCAGTTGTTTTTTATAACTCATGAACCAACTACTATTTAAATACTCGATTATTACGTTGGCCTCGACTGCGACCAGCTGTGTATAAAGCGTAAAGTAGGTCTACCTTGACTGAACTTTTTCCTCCTAACACTACCTGCAAACAGGAATATACTAATGCGTAATTTCGGATATGCACCTTTTCTTTTTTTTTCTTCTTCTTTTTTTAGTTGTTCCCCCCTGTTCCGTTGGGAGAAAGTAAATGAGGTAAAGGCTCAGCGAGCCCCTGCAGACTTTGTGCACCTGTATGGCTGAGTGAGCACAGCCCAGTATGGAAAATGCTGTGTTTTAGCTCTCGGTTGCTACAAGCGCCATCTGTTTCTAATTAGGAGCCCATAGACTCAAATTCTGTCTGCTCTGCGGCCAAAAGAGTGAAAGGTTGGAGGTCCAACACTTGTCTTTCTGAGGGGAAAATAACCGCCGCATGCAGCCTCTCATCCTGCACGTCTCATTTTCGAGACAAATGATAATTTTCAAAGAAATGATTCACCCCGCTTTGTCAAAACAGGCCGAGTAGCGAGCTGTAAACAAAGCTTCTGAATTAAATAATGATCCTGAAATCGTAAAGCATCCTCAAATAAAAAAAGAAATGTACTTGTGCAGACTTCATAACCACTGGGAGGGTGGGATAATGGAGTACTGTGAATTCATACCGTTGGGAAACGGCCGACCTGCGAATAACCCGACAGCCCTGGCGAAATACCTAAAAAACGAACAGACTTGCCTTCAAGTTACACAAAACATGCTTTTCTGCCGCTCAGGCCTGCGGTTTCTAATTATAGCACATTTTAGACACCGAGTACTTGAACGTCCTAATCAAAAGTGGAGCATTGCATTGATTTATTGCCATGTGCAGGTTATGATGAAAATTAATGTGTTTTTAAAGAAGTCATATATATATATATATATATATATATGGAGTTGAAACGTTATAACAAAGCGGTTTACACAATTTTAAAATTAACAATATTTATCTAAGAAGTTCTCAACGGTCTGTTAACAAACAAACCAGGCCTTATACTTACATGGGGTAAATACGACGCTCATACATGTATACCTACATACTTAAACAATTCTTAGCTAAAAAAAAAAAAAAAAGTTTTCTTGTGAAGAACGGATTCGGTTGCAGTGTTTCTGATGGCAGGCAGTAAAGTGCACCAACTTGAACTTCGTAACATTGTGTCAAGAGAGGGACACTTCAAAGCTGTCGAGCTACTGCTATTTGAGCCACAGTAGCAGTTGTCTGTGTCTTTCGCGGGTCTCTTCTCATTTATGGCGCAAGGCGGCCACTGAGCTATGAAAACACGGCCAGGAGACTTAAACTGCTGTAAGTCCGAGATATATATAAATATATCTCGGACTTACAGATAGATAGATAGATAGATAGATAGATAGATAGATAGATAGATAGATAGATAGATAGATAGATAGATAGATATCAAACGGAATCTTTTTATTATGACTCTACAATATTTGTTTTTATCATGAGAACTGAACTAATATATCGGAATATTTGAATAAAATATAGTTTATAAAAGGCAAACGTAGTTTTCCTTATATATATTTTTGTTCATTTATTGAATACATTTTACCAGTCAAAAATAATTGAATTAAAGAAACTGAAACTTGGAAAATAAAAAGACACCGAAAAACAAAGGTCAACGCTATTTTCTTGAAATAAATTTGCTCATGACATTTCAAAAATAATTGAAGGTTAATATAAATATTATTTTCAAGAAATGCCGATTAAAATATTTCTTTTCTTTTCAGTTGATCAGTCCAAATACACACATTTCATTTGTTTTCTCCAGACTCCTACCTTTTCCTCACATCTTTTA